TAAGGCAGCTATAAATAACCATTAATCTTCAAGATTATAACACTTCACTTGCCGTTGCTTCACAATATTCTGCTGCTCTAAGGTAGTTGGAAAAATGATGTAACGTTGCGCCATATGATTTTGCAAAATCTCTGTAATTTGATGCACTATGCGGCTTACCACGGTCTTACTTATAGGGCAAACAAAATCCTTACCTACGTCCCTAAGAAATGATCCTGTATCATAGTAATGCAGCGCTACACCCAACCTAGTGGAGTTTGGAATAAATGTACTTCTTACTGCTGCTCGGGAATGCTGAATGGAACTGTAAAGTCCCTTAAAGTGCGCCTTTGTATTCGCAACATTTTCCTTCTGTCATGCCGTATGGCGAGCGTTATTACCAATAAACTGATAGCTGAAACACAATCAATTTTTATTTATTAATAAGAATTAATTATTTATGCACACATTTCTATAATGCTTACTTTCCTCAATAATAGTTTCTCAAACATGAAGTTGTCAGTCCGATTCGAGAGATTTCTTGTCGATTGGCGTTCCATTTCTCTCACTGTTTCATATTTTGCCGACTTATTCTTACAGAAACCCTCGTTCTGGATCAATCGACTAATTTGGATCGAATCGAGTATATTGTCGATTCCTTACAGAAAGGCACTACATGTAACTTGTATGTTTCTACAATGAACTGTATACTCTTATAGAAAATTATACCTTCTCTTTTGAGCTCTTTTATATTATTTTGTGCCAAATTAGGTTTGCGGGACAAAGCATAGTAGTTTCTTTTGTGCTGTTGAGGGCGGCTTTTAAATCGACGAAGAGGTGATGTGTGAATATCTTCCTACCACAGGGTTTTTCAAAGATTTGGCGCATGTTGAAAATCTTGTCGATAGTTGATTTTCCAGGGCTAAAGTCAATCTGATAATGTCCAATTAGAGGATGCATGGTTTTAGGTGTGGGGGTTGATATATCGAAAGAGAAAACGATGGCAATGCTGCTTAAGGACTGATTATCACCGGTTCGTCCACCGATTTTCTGTGTGATTTTGGTCAGTATCAGATATGTGACGCAACTGAAATATCTGGGGCTGACCATGAGTGAAAGGATGTGTTTTACTCCATACTTGGCGATTAACGCATTTTGAGGAGTGATCTCGGAGGGGTCTCGGAAGTCGTGCTGTCCGCACCATATATCGTGGCTGGTTTGCGGCCTGTGCCACAAATGAAGCCCCTGTATGGTGAGAAGCAGCCACCTCCTCTTAATCCAGCGTTGTATGATACTTGCTTGTTTGCCTTTATGTCGCGCTGCCTCAACGGATGCTTTGCAGGTTTTGTTAGGTGCACCTCCTCTTCACCTGATTGTCATACAGCGTAATGTTGCAATCATTTTAAGAAGGGGTTTGAGTGTTGAAATTTCTCAAACGTTTTTGAGAATTGAAGTGTTTTTTTTTTGTGATGCGTGTTTATTTAATGTTTTTTTAAATATTCACTTAACACAACTTGACCAATTGCTTGTACCGGACACTTGAACAGAAAATTGCGACGGCGAAGTAGCGAAAAAAAGAAACGCGTGCGTATTCTAATAGCACTTAAAATCTTTATTGCAGTTAATATTTTACTTATCCTAAAACTTAAGCTAACGGGATAAAACAGTTGGAATATTAGTACTGTCTCTTATACACATCTTCCTAAAACTTAAGCTAACGGGATAAAACAGTTGGAATATTAGTATGTATGTAAGTTCAAAAAGAAGGTAAGTACAATTAATTTCGTTAACTTATGGTAATAGATTAAGGTGAGTATATTTAACATTATTATGATGAGTACAATGAAAGGAAAACTTTATAATTCAAATCTAAAACGTATTTCAGAAAAATAATTAATTTTTATTTCTTGTCTTATTTTCATTTTAGGTTGTACATATATAAGTCACTTGACGCAACACCGGATACCTTGACAGGATCATTATCCTTCAACATCCATGGGCAGTAATGTGAGTTTATGAATTGAGCGCTTAATGGTGCCCGCCGTGGTTGCCACGTCTGCCACTCGTACCTTACCGTCTTGGCCTTCGACGGTTGCGACGACGCGTCCGATTACCCACTGCTTTGGCGGCACATTGTCTTCTTGAACGAGATCGCCTGACTGCAGGTTGACTGCGGTTTCTTTCGCAGCAACGAGTTGGGTCCGTTGGCACTTGTTCTGGTGGCCGTGCTCGCAGAGGACAACCGATTGAAAGGTGCGCTGGAGTTAGTGCTTCTCCGTCGTTGGGGTCCTGGCTCAATGGTGTAAGAAGACGCGAATTCAAAATTTCCTTCACTTCGGCCAGTAGCGTTGAAAGCTCTTCCGTCGTTAGTAGTGCGTTGCCGAGTGCGCGAACGACCAGATCCTTGGCGGACTTCACAGCCGCCTCAAATAATCCGCCGAAGTGCCGCGCCCTGGGTGGTATAAAGACGAAGCTGAATCCTTCTTCGGCTGCGAACCCCATTAGTTCTGGGGCTTGCGCTAAGAACGCCTACTTCAGCTCGCGTAGTTTGCAGTCGGCGCCGACAAAGTTGGTTGAGATGTCGCTGAATATTTTCTGGGGCATCCCGCGGCGACCAATGAACCTTTTGAGGGCGAAAATAAAGGAATTAGTAGATAGGTCCGAGACGAGTTCGAAATATACTGCTTTTGAAGCCTTTACGGATGGTCGACCACGTATTTTTAACGTTGTATATATGGGACTACAAAAATCTACGCCACATATCAGAAAGGGTCATAACGCTCGAAGACCTTCAACTGACAAATTTCCCATTATTTGGTTTCGCAGCTTCGGCTTGTAATGAAAGCAGTGTGTACAGTTTCTTACGGTTCGACTGCAAGCTTCTCTGGCATTAATTAGCCAGATGCGTTCTCGAAGAAGCGCAACCAACGCTTTTACCCCAGCGTGGGGGTTTCAAAAGTGCAGGAACCGTAAATAAGTGATAACGAAATGCGAATTTTTATTCAATAATAATGGAAATTCGGCATCGTATGGGAGAGGTGCATTTAATAGACGACCTCCTACTCGGATTTGTTTAAATGAAAGCGACATATCCGAGTACCCATGCATGAACGGATTGAGTTTTTGCAAGTTTGCGGGTAGCGTCGTGCCTTTAGTCAGTTTTTGGATTTCACTCGCCTGGACAATTTTCAAAAACTCAAATTTAATTTGTCTGCCGTCAGAGCTCTTCCCACAGTAGGAATTTTTGGTCGTCGGATCCATCGTAATAAATGTGCGACCAGGCGAAGCAACTTTTGATGAGAAAAGAATTTTTCAATCATTTGCAGAAAATGTGACAGCGTTTTTCTTCTTCTCTAAGGCTTCGTTTTCTGGGGCGAGCTGGAAGTGAGCGTTAATTAGCCATGAAGCGGGGTCTTCTAGGAGGGACCGTGGACCGCCAAACCATATAGAATTATTCAATTCGTCCACGTTACAACCCCGATACACTTGATCCGCAGGATTTTGTTTCGTTGGCACATGTCGCCACTGTACATTGCCAGTCAATTCTTGGATTTCGGACACTCTATTTGCGACAAAGGTTTGTAATGAAGATGGATACGTTTTTACTCAGCGAAATACAATTTCCAAAATTTCTGTAAAAATGTAATTTTCGCAAATAATCGACTCAACATTGGTGCAACTCGTGGCCATAATTTGGCAAGAAGAGGTGCTGCCGCGAGCACGAGACGCGGAAGAGCCTTGCTCTTCAGCGGATCCACTCTGGACTTTGCAGTAAGCAGCATACATTTGACTCCACTAGCAGATTAGCTTCGTATGTATATGCAGCATCCGTACGCTCTTATTGAAGCGTCGGAGAAGCCATGGATTTGGCATATAGCCGTCGACTCTAGGTTCACATACCGAGGAATGCTAATTGACGAGAATTGCGGTAGATTGCCTTTGGAGTTCTGCCAGCTAGTGTCGAGGCGCAATGGAATTGACTCATCCCAATCTCGTTTTTGAATCCAAAGCGTGGGATTAATAATCCAAGATGATCGAAAAGGCGAGCGGAGACTGACAATATGTTCCGTTTAGTGGCTTGCAGATCATTAAAGTTGGTATCCAAAACAAATCCTCTTTCGGCAACCAGTGGATTCCTAGTGTTTTAGCTGAATCATTGTCATTAAAACTTAATGACTTTTCAGTGCAATCACTGTCGAAAAATTTAGGGTGGTTCGAAAACCACTTCGTTAAGGTGAATCCTGCTGATTTGAATATTTTAATTTATTAACTTCTTATAAGGTCTAGAGACTCAAAATTTTCCGATCCTGTCCTAAAGTCATCGGCATAAAAGCCTTTTAATGGCCAACGAACCGAGTGGGTATTTAGTTGTATTAGCATCGCTGAGCATTTGTAAAGTTATTGTTATGGTTGCGAGAAATGGTGCAGCCGCAATGCCGTAAGTAAGTTTGTTAAGTCGAAAAATTTGAATATGCTCTGAGGGATGTTCTATCCACACAATAAGCTTACAATTTCTGTCTTCTTCATGCACCATTATTTTACGGTATATTTTAGTAATGTCTGCCGTTAAAGCGTACTTGTGTTAACGAAAACGAAGAAGAGTTGAGTACAATTCTTCTTGGATGATTAGACTTACCATCAAAAGTTCATTCAATGAAATTTAAGATGAAGTACGACTCGAAGCGTCAAAAACAGCACGTAATTTGGTTGTTGTGCTTTCGGGTCTTAACAGGTTCCCTGTCCAATGTATCACATGTGATACAAAATTATTTTCTTGTACCATGTGTACAGCGTCCATGTATCATATATGAACAAATTTTTGGTTGATTTGAAATAAGTTTATTAAATGTATCACTGATGGTACATTGAGCGTATGCAATTCAACTTCGTAGTGACACGTTCGTGTATCATAGCTGATACAAATTTTTTGTTACCGTTATATCGCTGTCAAGATGTGTGGGATAGTTCAAAAATTCATCGATAACCTCTAAAAACGCCTACAGCAATATAATTTCAAAAATAAGTGTTGCACGTGTACTGTTAAAAATTAATTTTTGTATGGGGACAGGGAACCTGTTAAAACGTATTGATGCTCACACGGGATCTTATTGTTTGTTGGACTCATGTGACTCAGCGTTCTGTATTCATTCACAAAGTGCAGATACATTTTCAGCGTTCTCCTCTCCAGGGCCTGAAACCGCCGAACTGCGGTTTCATAAGAGTGAAAGAGTAACTTACGGTCAGCTTTATATGACATTTTGAGTTGAAGTGGTCCTCAAGGCATTACTTGAGTTGTTTTCACGAATAATTTTTCACATTCTTTTTGCTCTTTTGTGAGTTTGATACCATTTGTTTCTGAAGGTAATTCCTTTAAAGCCCAAAACTTTTGGACCACCGAATTAATTAACGTTAAGTCATTTTCAGATTGGCATAATGACACAACGCACCCTAAAAGGGTTTTCTGTAGCGTTGGTTAATTAGGGCCACTTTTAATTTCTGCACCCAATAAGATATCAATCTATTTTGATTTATGGAATTATGGATACACCAATTTAATATTGTGTGGAATTTTACAGCCATTAGCATTTCTGCTAAGGTCTGGATGATTAGCCGAAAGCAACGCATTATCCAGAATTCCGCCGAAAGAAGCCGGGAGAAATTACTATTATGTTTAACGTTTTGTGTTGGCGACGAATCCGCAACTTATGTGCCAAGTCCTCCGTCATAAAATTGACTTGGGAGCCTGAGTCCAGTAACGCTCTCGCAGACAGGAATTCACCATGACTGGTCCTCACTTGAATAACAGCTGTCGCCAACATTACTCGATCCGGCATACTCGCTGTGTACATGGCATGTGTGGTTGATGGCTGCGGATGAGATGCAGTGGGAAAGGAAACTGGGTACTGATGCAACAATGTGTGATGCGATCGATTGCATACACGACATCGATCCGCTTTGCACTTGGATACAGCATGCTCCTTACATAAGCAATTTATCCATAAGGGCACCGATTTCACAAACTCGAACCTCTGTTGTACGGGAAGCGCCTTGAAAGTGGGGCAGGCAGTTAAAGGATGTTCCTTTGACTTGCATTTTTGACAAGTTGGCTGCTTTGCTTCTGCAGCAACTAAAGCTGATTTTGTCCTGTCCATGTGTGGCTGCTTCATGTGGCTCATGCTGATTGTGGCTCCGGATTTCGTCCTCGAACAAGATGCTCTTCCGCTGCTAACTGCTGAAACATTTATTTAAAGTTGCTTCGCAATTCTTCCATAATGGTAAGTGATCGTAGTCAAGTTGCTCTTCCCACTTGGATCGGGTGGCAGAGTCAACCATTGTCATAAATATGCTGACCACCTGTACGTAAATGACACGTAGCGATGTACCGTGTACCGAAGCTTTAGCGAAAATCACGAAAATGTACGTAAATTGAAACGGAGAATATTGATGTACATAATTTGCGTTAAAACAACAAATAATTGCTATACAATTGTGTCCCACCCGTGACGATGGAATGAATACCCCTAATGCAAATTAAATATATTCACCAAGCTTTAACTATGTTAAACTCGCCATTATGGCAACGCCGTTTGTGGAATGCTTTTATTGTATTTGTTCGTGTTAAAGTGAAATTACATATGTTAAAGCTCTTCTTATTTACATTTATTCATGTATTTTCTACCAACAATTTGTGGAACTTATGCTGACAGGTGATATTGTGGAAGCGACGCTATTGTGTGTGTACGTTGTATTATTTTTTTAAAATGTCGCGAAAACGTGCATAGTGGTCGCGGAGATATTGATTCGCATATTAAATCAAAAAATCACCAAAATGCATTGCACGCTGCCACGTCCAGCCCCACACTCAATAGATATTTAAAAAGTTCTACTTTGAAAGGAATAGATGCCCATATCGCGGCGTGTGAAGGCGTTTGGGCATTTCATGTCATAAGTTCTAATCACACTTTTCGCTCGGCCGATTGCGCTTCCAAAATCATTCAAAGTTGTTTCGCAATGTCCAAATTTTCTTGTGCGCGAACGAAATGCGAAGCAATCGCAACCGAAGTTTTCGCACCGTTCGTATTGCAAGAGCTCCAGAAAGACTTAAATGACTGTCATTTCTTCACTATATTGACGGACGCCTCTAATCATGGCAGCACAAAAATGTTTCCGATATTAGTTTGCTTCTTTTCGGAAAAGGATGGCGTCAAAGTGAAAATTATAGACTTGGTAGATGCACATGGAGAAAGTTCCGAAATAATTGTAAATTTGCTGAATAGCGCTATGAACAAATTGAACATAAATAAGAAACTAGTTGCGTTTTGTGGAGATAACGCGGCGTGTAATTTTGGCAACGGTAATCGAACCGGCACAAATAATGTGTTCTACAAACTGAAGCAGCTTTATCCTGGGTTGATTGGCGTTGGATGCGCAGCGGATATTGTTCACAATACTTTAAAAAAAAAGCTTGCGACAAAATGCCTTTTGATGTGGAGATGATTGTAGTCAAAATTTATTCACATTTCTATTTGTTCACCGTGCGTGTCGCAAAATTTAAAAAATTTTGTGAATCCGTGGATGTGGAATATAAAAAACTGATAGGTTACAGCAAATCTCGTTTCTTAGGCTTGTTGTCATCAGTCGTCTCAATATTAAGAATTTTTGATGGTCTTAAGGAATATTTTTTGGGAGATGCCAACACCCCAAATTCTTTTCTACTATATTTTGAAGATCCAAGGGCCAAGATGTGGCTGCTTTTCCTTCGTGATCAAGTAAGTATCGGTTAATGGTAATGAAATGCGTCATGTGTGGAATACAATGCTCGCGACAGACTGCAAACGACATCTGTCAAATATTAAAATACACACGTTCTTATGGACGGACCTATTTTGACAGCTGTACGACTACACGACGGCAGGCAGACAGTTGTCGTTCTCGCTAACTTCAATTTTATCCTATATTTGCCAACGACAGTAGGACGACAGTAGAGTTGACAGTAGAATGGAAGATAGAGAGATGAGGTAGAATGGTGATGCCACTAATATATAAAATGTAATATTACTCAAAGCTCTATCAAACCCGACGTTATTTTACAAATAAAAGCATAAAATAGCTCTGTTACATCATTTATAATAACAATTGATATTTGAAAACAAATAAATTTACCTATTTACTTATTTTTTGCTTAAAAATATCACTTTGAACAAAATATTAAAATTTCATTGAAGTGCAAGGTAYTAGTATGGCCACAACGAAATTGTGTACATGCAAAATTTACAACTGCGTTGTTTTGTGTACATGCCGGCCATTGTTATGTTGCTGCCCTCTCACAAACGTTCATGTAGTAGGATTCACAACGCTGTTTTCAGTTCACTGTCGTGATGCTGCAGTCTGTCGCGAGCATTGTGTTCCTCACATCAGGCACCAATAACTTTTTTTTAATTTTTTATGTAGGCATCTATTTTCAACAGAACAGTTAAAGCAGTGGAAAGCGACAATATTAATGCAATGGAAGTTGGGCATGCACCCAATTCTTTTGTCCAGTCGCTCGAATCTCGGAAAAAAGAAATGCTTCTTCCGCTACAGTGCAAAAGGAAATGGAATATATTTCTGCTGTTGACGAAAGAGTGTCAAAAGAAGAGATGCAAGATCTCTCACTTCAATTCTATGGTTCGAATATTAATTTAGCTTTATTTTCAATTTAAAAGATTTTATTCATTTCTTTCTTAGAATCATGTATAAAATATATTGAAAAGTGGAAAGAACAATTTGACCATATTATGATTTTTGCCTGGTGTCCACCGCAATGGAAGTTTATCGAAACCACCGCGAAGTACATCGCAACCAATAACCATTTTGATCTGGAATCATCCGATACTGATTTATTCGATCAGTTCACGTATTTGGAAAGCTACGTAACCGAAGAGAAAATCCAATCGTGGGAAGAAAATGGTACTGCCACCGATCAACGCTGGGTTGAAAATTTTCAACATTTCGTCAAAAAGAAGGTTCCGTACAACCACATGGTCAGAATCATATCGTATATTCTCTCATTGCCAGGCAAATCAGCCACCGTTGAACGAGTATTTTCTCTGATCAATCAAATTTGGAACGATGAAAAATCAAAAATAAAGATCGAAAAATTGCGAGATCTTTTATATGTTCGATACAACATTAAAATGACTTGTAAGGAATTTTTTTAATTTTTAAAAATACAACCTAAAATGTTGAAGGAAATTGCATCAAATGAAAAATACGCATTCAAAAATGCCAATCAGATCGACGAAAACAATAATAATAATAATAATTTGTACGTAAAAAACGAATTGGATATCGAAAAATAAACTGCTTTCTCCATAACTTGACCATAAATTGAAATCAAATTAAACTAAATTGCATTTGCATGCACCGTTTTTTCATTAATTAAAAACTGTACATAATATAAACTTATAGTAATCTAACTATCATTATAGAAAGAGGCAAGAAAAAAAATTTTTGTGTACGTAAATGAGATTTTGAAAAGGTGGTCACCCTAGTCATAACTATATGTATTATAACGGCGTTGGTTATTTGCTTCTCATCGCCCAGAGATAGCAAAGATTCATAAATAGCAGACACTTCATCGATCATTGATCGCAATGAAGGCGCGGATGGCTTTGGGATTGTTGGCAGCTCAAAAAGTTTAGATATCGTTTTGAAAAATATCAAGCATTTATTATCATAAACTTTTTTGAGACTTGCCAACGCTTTCGGGTAATTTTCATCCGACATCTGAAATGCTTTGACTGTTCCCAGAGCTCATCGTTCCATTGAATGCGATATTCGCCGTGGCCAACGCGCAAAGGACCATAAATCTTTCGCAGAACTTTTCTCGAAAACTCGCAACGTCGACTCATCAGTTGTTGTTATCGTCCAAGCCTCTGCACCATATAGCAGGACGGGAATTATGAGTGACCTATAGAGTTTTGTTTTTTTTCGTCGAGAGGGGACTTTGCTTCTCGATTGCCTACTCAGTCCGAAGTAGCASCTGTTGGCAAGAGTTATCCTGCTTTGGATTTCCAGGCTGACATTGTTGSTGTTGTTTACGCTGGTTCCAAGATAGACGAAATTTTCTACGACTTCAAAGTTATGACTTTATGACTGTCAACAGTGACGTGAGAGCCTAATCGCGAGTGCAACGACTATTTGTTTAATGACAGGAAATATTTCGTCTTGGCCTCGTTCACTGCCAGACCCATTTGTTTTGCTTCCTTGTCCAGTCTAGAGAAAGCAGCACCAACGGCGCGGGTGTTGAGGCTGATGATATCAATTTCATCGGCATACGCCAGCAGCTGTACACTCTTATAGAAGATTGTACCTTCTCTATTTAGTTCTGCAGTCGAATTATTTTCTCCAGAGGCAGGTTGAAGAAGTCGCACGATAGGGAGTCGCCTTGTCTGAAACCTCGTTTGGTATCGAACGGCTCGGAGAGGTCAGTTTACAGATCCATATAAGATATATCGGGCATAGTACACTTAAATTCCAATCATTGGGTATGCTTTCGTCCGATCATATTTTACAAAGAAGCTGATGCATGATCTTTATCAGTTCTTCGCCGCCGTGTTTGAATAGCTCTTTGCCACCGCTTTGTTGTTCGTCAAGCGGGTAATTGCTGTTCGAACTTCTTCCTGGTCGAGCAATGGAACGTCATCGATTGGGAAGTCGGATCAGTATTAATTTTAGTATGCCCTGGGCATCAGTCATTAGATAACCACATTTACAAGAGTTTGCTCCGGTCTTAAAACCTTCTGTAAGTCGCAGCATCTTTTTGTAGAATTCGAGCAGCACTGTCGGCCAGTTCGCCAAGCTCTTCGCACTCACGCATTTTGGTCTCTCTCCTTTTTGTCTGCACATGCGTCTCGCTTCCCTCTTCAACTCTCTATATCTATCCCATCCCGCGTGTGTTGTGATTGATCATAACGTTGCGAGGTAAGCAGCCTGTTTTCTCTCCGCTGCCACACGGCACTACTCGTCGTATCAGCTGTTCTTCTGCACTTTGCTGTACGTAAGGAGTTTGAAATACCGTCCAACAGTTCCCTTATACCGAGTTGTTGACGAGTGCTCTCAGAGAGCAGGAGTGCAAGCCGAGTAGAAAATCGTTCGGCTGTCTGTTGTGATTGCAGCTTCTCGACGTCGAACCTTCCTTGCGTTTGATGGCGTGTTAGGACCTCTCAGTGCACGCACATCTAAAACACTGTAGACGTGTCTTGCATCCATCACAATATCATCGATCTGGTTGGTGGTTTTTCGATCCGGAGACTGCCAGGTAACTTGATGTATCTTCTTATGCTGGAATCTAGTACGGCAGATAACCATATTTCGGGCCCCGGCGAAGTCGATCAGCCTCAACCCGTTTGGAGATGTTGCCTCGTGGCTGCTAAATTTACCGACCGTAGTGCCAAAGATACCTTCTGTGCTCACCTTGACGTTAAAGTCGCCAAACACGATTTTGACATCGTTTCGGGGGCAGCTCCCATAAGTGCGTTCCAACCACTCATAAAAGGCATCTTTGGTCACATCGTCCTTCTCTGGCGTCCTCGCTTTGATGCGGATTTTGGCTAGACGTTCATTCACCGGAGTGAATGATAGTACTCGGCGTCGGAGCCCCTCCCCCACCACGAGTCCCACACCAAACTTGCGCTCCTTTATATGGCCACTGTAGTAAATGCCAGAAGGACCTACTCATCTCTGTCCTTTTACCGTCCATCGCATTTGTTGGAAGGCGGTGATGTCAGCCTTTATTTTCACGAGAACATCTACCAGCTGGGCAGCGGCACCTTCCCAATTAAGGGACCGAACATTCCAGGTGCATGCCCTAAAATCATCGTCCCTAATTCGTTTACCATGGTCGTCATCAAATGGAGGGTCTCTCATCCGAGGTTGGTTGTTCCTTTACATTGGGTGTGTTTTCTTACGTGGCGAGTCAGAAACCCAGTGCATAACCCTATGGAGGAGTATTTCGCCTTCTCATTTTAGCTCGCCTTCAAACGAAACTTTCCTCACTTGCGTGAACTTCTACACATGACTCCATTATCCGATAAGCAATAGCACAGTTGAAAATTTAACGCGAATATGTATTGTCCAATAATTAAATTTGCGAATACACGAGATAATATGCGAAAAAACTGACCGCATTCAAATTTTAAAATTATGCGATTTACAAAGAGGTCGCACCTTAATGTAGGCGAATCGGCAATCCTTAAATACCTTCACATTCTCTTCAGCATATGTATATGTGTAATATAAAATATATGTAGAAAAAGATATATATACATATATATATAAGTTAAAAAACGTATTGTTATTTTTATTAAAAAAAATATTTTCGTGGAGCTGTGCTCCTTTATTGAGTTTCACTAAAGAACTAAAATTTACAATTAATTATACTTAACTCTAGACCTATGTTTGCCCCTGCAACGGGTATGAAGCTGCTGACACTGCGCTTTCCACAGGTTGGCACTTCGCTGACGCTGCGCTTCAGAGAGGTTGCCACTACACGGATCGCACTCTCAGCGAGTTAGTGGTGTCATATTATATTACTTTGTATCATATGATATTAAGGCATCACATGATACTTTTTGAATGTATGGGGTGCTAACTTCTATATATGTAAAAATAGGCGTGTAATGTGAAAACGGAGAACCAAAAGCTGAAAGTGTGTGTTTGCAGTTTTATTATTATCGTTTTTTGCTTGCACCACTTTCTAGAATTCGCACCCTTTAATTGGTGCGCGGCTGTTTGCCGGCGCTTACGTCCCTCAGCGGCAGCTCATTCCCACGACGACTTAAGCAGCAGCGGATAGACGGCAGCAACAAGCGGCTTGGTCCTGTACTGGAGTGATGGCAGCACCGAGGTGATGACAGCAGCGGCTGAATATCCACAGCGATGGCGGCAGCGGGGTCATGACAACAGTAGATTGATGGCAGCAGCGAAGCGGCGATAGCAGCAGCGACGTAAAGGCAGCAGCAGCGATACTAACAGCGATCGGATGGGAGAAGTAATGATAGCAACGAATAGCGGTGGAAACGGTTCGTCTTTTTTGCCGGTACTTTGGGGTTTTTACAGGTTTTAGGCTTTACCGGGGTTTCACTCTTGCGGCATTTTAAGCAAACGGTTTCTTTTATTTGAAATTGTAACACAATTTATTTTATTTTATTTCTTTTTTGGGTAGGCCAAAAACGTATAATAAATGCACATCATTTGCGCCCACCACTGCACCGCATAAATAAATTTGGTGAATTTCTCACCTATACGTTTAAGCACACACTCCATAATACTTCCCTTTTCTTCCTTTTTGATTTTTTACACTGAGGTAAGTATACGGGTAAGTATTTCAGCAATGCACTTTATACTGTATGTATGTATATATATATGTATTTATTCTTTTTTTTTTTTTACAGGTTTCACTGCACGGAGTTCGTATATCTATATGTACTTGTATATATATATGTATAATTTTTTTTTTGTTTTTTGTGTTATTTATTGTTTTTTCACCTTCACTGAACCGTGAACACCGAGACTCCGAAAACCGAACACCGAAAAGGGTACACTTGGCACTTGGTTGCGAAAAGAGTTTTTGCACTATTATTTTACTGAGTGTAAATTTTAAGTAACTTTTTTTTTAACACGTATTTGTCCGTCCTCGGGCGCCATGAAATTTCTCAAGCGTTTTTGAGAATTGAAGTTTTTTTTTTCGGATGCGTGTTTGTTTAATATTTTTTTTTAAATATTCACTTAACACAACTTGACCAATTGACTGTACCGGACACTTGAACTTACGGAAAATTACGACGGCGATATAGTGAAAAAAGAGAAACGCGTGCATATTCTTTGGCGGTCTAATAACAATTAAAATCTTTATTCCAGTTAATATTTTACTTATCCTAAAACTTAAGCTAACGGGATAAAATAGTTGAAATGTTAGTATGTATGTATGTAATACAATACAATATAATGTATTTCAGAAACGTAATTAATTTTAATTTTATGTTTTATATTCATTTTAGGTTGAACATATACAAGTCGCTTGACGCTTGGAGGATGGAGTCATAAGTAGAAGTTCACGTAAGTGAGGAAAGTTTTCTGATCGCCATTCACTTGGGAGTGGCCAGAACGATTCTTTTACATATGACTCCAGCAGCTCACGACTTCCGGTCCTTGACCAAGTATCCTCTGGGTAGAATAAGAACATCCGTTTGAAGTTGAGCTAAAGTGAGAAGGCGAAACATTCTCCTGCATAGCGTTGTGCGCTGGGTTTGGGACCCGTCACGTAAAAAAACCACCCCAATGACAACGCAACAACAGCCTTTTGAAGTTGGAC